AAGCATAGATCCAAATTCAGAACTCAGATCTTCTGAGTTGTACAGACTAACAGGCAGGACACAGAGAAAAACAGGGCCAATGGCTGTAAGCTGTAAGTTATGCTCTGGAGGAGGGGTATATCTGAGTCTCAGATGATGACAGGGAGAGAGACAAGGATATTTACCTGCAACCTCCTATCAGGTAAGTCACAACCATTTGTATTTGGCACTCTCAAAGACCACAGTAAAATGCACTAATCCTTTTTGGCCTGAGTTTGCTATTATGTGGAATCAGCTTTGAGAAACACAAGCATTTAACCCTCACCAAGTGACTTAGTGGATAGGTCAGTCACTTTTGTTTTTTTCCATAATTCTACAAATACATCATCATAAGTCAAACCACATAAAAGTCTCCTGTGTACTGTATGTGTATATAGATACACTTATGTGTTCCATACCTACAGAAGCACAGCCACAATTTGCATCTTATGAGATTTGTCCACTGTGTTTCTCAGTCCATAAAGGGCAACAAAGGATACAGTTTGCAGGTACATAAACATTCTTTAACAAAATGTATATAATATGCTCTTTTTTTTAGATGATGTGTAGTATGTTATACACCATTATTTACCAAGTATATTTGATAAAGGATTTCCTGGCAATGCATGATCCTTAAAGTATCAGGGCTAACCAACAAATTTTGATTACATCTAGTGATTTAACTACAGAGAAAGAAAACTTCATGATGGTCACAAACTTACCTAGTAGGCCCATGCCCATAGTTTATTTCAAATAGTGAATTGTAAGTCATAGAAAATCACATATTGTGTCAATAATTGGAGTGTTGACACTTTATTCGTGAATATTGGCATTCCAGATGACTTGCAGAAGATAAACAGAAATTTGAATAAGACCTTTACATTTGACTATCAAATAATCCCATCTTCTTTTGTTTCTTCTTTTTGCCTCTTGGTGTAGAAACAAACAGGGAATTAAGGATCCCAAATGTGAAAAAAACTAAACAGTAACTATTCTTCATTTAGATATTCAGTTTCCTTGGGAATCTCTAATACTTATTAGGTACACTGACATTTAAATGGAAACAATGTTACTATTATTAAAAGTATTATAATATCCCGTAGGCCCGGCGCGGTGGCTCAAGCCTGTAATCCCAGCACTTTGGGAGGCCGAGGCGGGTGGATCACGAGGTCAAGAGATCAAGACCATCCTGGTCAACATGGTGAAACCCCGTCTCTACTAAAAATACAAAAAATTAGCTGGGCATGGTGGCACGTGCCTGTAATCCCAGCTACTCAGGAGGCTGAGGCAGGAGAATTGCCTGAACCCAGGAGGCGGAGGTTGCGGTGAGCCGAGATCGCGCCATTGCACTCCAACCTGGGTAACAAGAGCGAAACGCCGTCTCAGAAAAAAAAAAAAAAAAATATCCCGTAAACATCAAATAGGGTCAGAATTGTGAGGTAAATAAAATTTCATTACCTTGAATTTAGAATATTTAAAATCACAAATGTGAAGTCCCTGTATTTTATCACATGCCCACTTGTTTTATATCCAGATATGCATGTGTATGTATGTTTTACAAAGTTGCCTTATGAACAGATATGTGATAATATAATTTATTTTGAAACTAGCATGGTTTTTTGTGGTCAAATATTTTATAATTATCTGTTCACATATCTGCTGCTCATATTAAAAATATGGTCAGTAGAACTACTAAAAATTAAATTTTAAAGGTTGGTTTGAAATGCTATTTCCACTATTCCTTGACTTATAAGAGGACTATTAATACATAGTCTCAACCTGCCATTATTAAGCAGGAGTGAATCTCTATGTGTATGAGTGTAGAGAGTTGGAAGAAACAGTGTTAGAAACTGGTCCAGAATTGAACTCTTACTCCTGTGAGAGCTGGTAATAAGGCAGGTAGACTCTGTTTAGAAAAGCACCTGAGGGTGCTTCATGACTGAAGTCCTGTGGATAAGTCTGTCTCACTCTTCCCTGTGCACACAGTTATAAATGCAGATTCTGGTCATTCTATTTAGGGAGGAACTCCAAGGCTGCTGCTACTGCTACTACTCTGAATCACACTTTGATTTTTGTTCCTGGGATAGAAGTTGGTATTGTGGTTTTCTTTAGTTCCTTACACAATTTCGTATACAGGTCTGTAATCTTCTCTAGAAAACAGCTGAGTTACGTATGTATACATGAGGCTATCTCTCTTTCCCTCCAGTTTTGTCACCATAATTATATAGTTTTTATTTTTTTCAAAATGATAGAAACTGCAGAGCAAGACCTCAAGACTAATGTGTACTCTCTTATCTGATGCATAATTACACTAAATATCATAATTACAAAGAATGAGCATCAATTCTTAAAAGAAACACTTGTTTCATAGGAAACGTTAAGGCAGTGAAGGTAAATGTTTGGGGACAGTCAGCCAAACTTCTGTCACTGGATAACCAGAATTACAAACCTCCCTTGTCTCCTGTTGCCATCTCAGATTATTCAGGGCCACAGACTCACTAAGAGAATTTTTTTTTTCTCCTAGCCATTTCACTTTCTCAGTGCCAGACATCTACTGTGGCTCCCAATGAATCAAGTTCTCCTTCTTCTCCTCCTCTGGAAGCTCATGCGCCCAGTAAAATGTCACAAATAAAGTGAAAACATGCCTTTTCCAGGCTAGCCTTATAAACAGAAAGCAGGAGCACCATTCTTCACCAGGAAACTGACCCACAAAGCTTACTGGATTTAAAGAGACTGAGAAGAAGCTCAGCTAAGAAAACAAAGGGAATTCTCTCCATAGTTAATTCTGATGAAGCTCCACCAACCCCAAAATAAACCCTTGTCCAAGGCAAGGAAATAAAAAAGAGGGCATGTAAGGTGAGGTCTGGGAAAGAAATGGTGTTTCATAGGCAACTTATTTGCATGCTCTGTTTGTCTATCTTTTCTTTACCAGAGAATAAGTGGTAATGTGTTCATCTTGTCTCTCTCAGTCCCCATTTCCATACTGTAATGTCTGCTAAAGTGTAATGTTTAAAACTCTGTTCCTATTGAGCCATAGACAAACAAAAGCACATATGTATCATCCATAGATATGTATGCAGTGAGACTGTCTCTGTATGAAAGTATAAGAATGTTTTTATTCTTCTGAATTAACATTCCTATACTTACCTAACTCTTAGATAACTATAGTTTCAGGTACCGGAGATGCTGACTTAGAAAGACCTTATAAAGCTCAAGGATACTTAGATAAAAAACAACTTATACATTCAAGTTATTCACTTTTCTCATATTCAATCATATAACCAGTGAACAAAATTTCTAGGGATAGCATAAATTTATGTAGAGTGCTTCACCATTAAAGGGTTAATGATGTTAGGGAGAATGAAGGTTAGCAGTTGTGTGTTTGCAAAAACATTTTCTGCACCATGTCCAAATCCCTTTGCAAACAGATAAATTACTCTATAAATCTTATTACTCCATGTGGATAAATCACACTTGCAGGTTTGTAAGGTTGAAGAGCTAGAAGGGAAAATCTGCTTTGGATAGTAAGATCTTTGGGATTCATAATCACCCAATGCTCAGGAAATGAAGAAAGTAGTGTTTACACATTAGTATTTTCTTACTTTTCACAATCTTGAGAAAGACATACCCACACAACACACACACACATATGCAATGCACGGCACACAGCACACACTTCCCTCTCTAACAAGGCTAGAGCTCCCAAAGCAGGACACTGTGACAGCCAACCAAATTTATTTCTGAGAAAAGGAAAGAAAACTTTGCTGCTGTCGGCAGCTCTGCTAGAGAACTGCTCCCTGATGCCCCTGGGTTTATGCACTATCAGCTCCTTGCACACAGATTAGAGGTTTATTTTCCACGGTATACTGTGTTTTTATTGCCACAACAAGCAATATTAGCTAGATAGACAGACTGACACTGGGTCATTTTATTTGGAGGAAATGAGATTTTAAAAGGTCTCCAAGGAGAGTGATTCTTTCTTTCTGTTAGAGTCTGCCAGAAAGCCAGGAAAAAGAACAAGGGGTAGGTACAGTTGGTCAAGAGGGTGAAGAGTGAAGAGAAACACAAAAATAACCTTGGAGCATTTTGGAAATAAAAATATGACTAGGTCTCATTTGAGTATCTCTAGCTCACAGTACCTGATAGGGGTCAAATTCCCAAGGACTTGGGACTCTTCCTTTCCAAATTTCAATCTCAAATTATTTTAGAGTTTGGCAGAGTTGCACAGAAAAAAAGACTTTGAAGTCCATAATCAATGTGAAATATCCATTTGATACCAGGTTAATTCTTTCCCAACCTCTGTGTTTAACACTCCCAGTCTTAAATATCAGCAATTTGGCAAGTTCCTTTTCTTTCTGCTCTTTGTATGTTGTGTTGATTTATATCCACATACCAGAAAAGGCTCAGTAACCAACCAAAGTTCTAAGATTGATTTATTGCCCTCCGTATCAATTAGAAGATCTTTACAGAAAGTCTTCTATCAGAAACCCTCACACACGGCCTTGATATGTGTGTGTGTGTGTTCGCCTGAAAGCACACACAAACACAGACACGGGAGGAACAAGGAGAATGCAGTACTCTGTACTACTCTCTGAGAGCCATAATCCATCAACCTTTCTTTCAGAATTAAGGAATCCCAACAAAACTCTCGAGTGCAAAGCAACAGCAATTACAATAGCAAGAATACTGCCCAGAAGTCTCCAATGCCATGGGTGAAATTAGCTTCCTTGATAAGAGAAACAAGGTCCTAAGAACCGAACCACATTTAACCACCACCACTGCTCCCTGACAGGGACCAGAATCCCTTGAATTTTGTTAGCTCTCATGCCAACCAGTCAGTAAAACGGGGACACACACCACAAACCTGCATCATCAGGAGCTGGAGTTCAAGGAGATCAGGCACACACACACACACACACACACACACACACACACACACACACACAGACGCGCGCAGCAGAAAAGTTGCCCAAAAGCCCTACCTGAGGATGGCTGTGTCCCCCTGCCTCACGGTGATGTTGTCCGTGCCTCGGTTAAAATCCACGCTGCGAACAGGCAGTCCTGTGGGAAGAAGGCAGAGCAATCTCAGTAGGACCAGCGGCAACTGTTTCCGATCTGGCTGAACTCTCCCGACCATGGTGGCCACTGCCGAGGTTCGGGTCCGTGGGGTGCTCTGGAGGGGCGCGCGCTGCTCGCGGGAGAGGCTTCACCAGCACCGGGCTTTCATCCACAGCGAGCGCAGAGCGGGCTTTGCCAGTTTGTGGTCCTTTCCACTTTGCCTCTCTCTTTCCCTCGCTCAGTCTCTTTTCCCTCTAAGACTTAACAAAGCCCTCACAAAACCCAGGCAGAAGGGTGAAAAAGTAAAAGCAACACAATTTCAAAAGAGAGAGTACAAATGGCAAGCCCTCTGGAAGAGCTGAAGAGAAAGCCAGAGGAAGGGGTCCTTGTTTAGTCTCTCTGTGGCTGGACGCTCCTCTGCTAGTGCATGAGCTGAGCTCCTTCGCTCTGTAACCCACTTTCCCAGGCTGGCAGGCGGGCGAGGGAGCCGGCTCCAAGCCTGCCGGTGAGTGTACAGAGACAGTCACAGCAGCGGCAGCAGCAGCAGCAGCAGCAGCAACCCAGAGCCTCTCTCCCCCTCCTCCCTTTCCTGTTTCTCCTTCCAGTCCCTGGCGCTCTCTCTGCTCAGCACCTCCCCCCCACCCCCCTACCCTCCACCCCACACCCTGCTGGTTTTCAACAGCCCCTCCACGTCATCCCCTCCACCCTCCCCTGGACGTGGCCCCTCGCTTTGCACAACTGCCCCCTTCAGCAGCAGCCAGCCTCAATGAAAGCCTGATGCGCCTTTGGGTTGTCAGGACGACAGCTCCATCTGAGGCCTGGCTGATTTCCTTAAGAAGGGGGAATGGAGCTCAGAGGTACTGTTCAGAAGAGAGGGGAGAAAGAGAGGGACTTAAGCTAAAAAAGAACAGGAGAAAGAGTCCGGGAAAGAAGAGGGAAGGGGTAAGGAAAGAAGAAAAAGGAGGTGGGAAGGAGAGTTGCAAATGGGGGGAGTGGGGCAGAGAACAGGAAAGCACTGACGTGGGGGGTGAGGGTGGGGAATGTCCTAAAAGACGGGATAAGGAAACTGAGAAGAAACTTGACGGAGGAGTCTAAGATTAAAAGCCAAAGTTGATTTCAAACTAAACATTCTTGGCAACTGGCTTTGCATGTTCAAATCTTGTTCATTCTCTCTTCTCTCCTGCACTTTCTCTTAGAGGATTAAAATGGTTTATTTTCTCTCCTTCCTTCGTCCCCTCCCCCTCTTGGAACCCCCTTATGAAAGATGGATTGGAGACAATGCTGGTATTGAGTGGTCTGGGGTGTGAATGCTTGGCTTGTTTTTTCCAAGTGCCAGCCTCAGCAGCTGATCCCTGATCCCTAAATCAACTTCACTCTCCAGGAAACCCTCACTCAATCCTACACATGAGTAACGGTATTAAGGCTTATTATTAAAAGGGCACATTGAATTGCTACCCAAGTTCCTCCTGGCACTTAACTTCTCACAATGTTCATATGCAAGGAAGGAGATTTGTAAATCAGCAAGCTTGTCATTTGCAAAGAGACACTAAGTAAGACTGTATGCAGCACTCCAGCTAATGGCAGATAGGTTGCCATCATTTGTCACTCCTCCTAGTCCATGAGCCAAGCAAGTGATGAGGACCATAAAGTGATGAGGATCATAAAGACCATTGAGAGTCACTCAAGTGAGAGCCCCAAACTCTTGGACAACTCCCTCAGTACTGACGTTGAGGATAAAAGTTGTGCTTGCATCAGCCAAGGACTTTTTCTTTTTTCTCTTTTTTGATTATGTTTATTTAAATAATGAAAGTATCCACATGGTGCAAAAACCAAAATGGTACAATACGCTGTAGAGTGAATTGTAGTTTTCTTCTTATTCCTGTCTTTGGGCAACCCATTTCTCATCTCTGAAGGCAACAAACATTTTCAGTTTGTTATTTATCTTTCCACAAATATTCCACACATTTAAAAATAAATATGTACATATAGAGAGATATTATACCCATCCCTCTTATTTAAGCAAATGTTTAGCCTAGGACATTTGCCAAAACTAAAATAAAATAAAAAGAAAGAAATATGTTTAGGAATCCTTATCAAACTCCACCAGAGTACAAGCCTTAAGGAAACACTCTGCTGAAACTGGCTCACCCCGTAAATATTCAAAGCACTTTTTCTACTGTATGTTATCAGTTTAAAAGATAGATGAACTCTTACAGATTATGTGAGGAGAAAGGAAGACCTATTTTGTTTTTAAGAAAAGACTGAGGATTGGAATCTGAATTGTCACATATTCATGATGATGGAGTTCAATTAATTTTGTGTGTACTGTGCATTCATTTTATATAAATCAAGGTGTCCTATGTCAGGGATTATAAGCAGTGCCCAATTAATAAACCAATAATGTTCGAGCACTAAGTTATAACTCAGCTGTTTAAAACTTGGAATCCATTTTGCCATAGGAGAAACAGGCCAAGTTGATAGTTAACTACAAAACTCATAATCCTGTGAATCCCAGTATCAATAAAAAAATGAGCTTCAAGTGTCAAAAAAAAAAGATGCAAGGATTATATAACTTCTACCAATACTGAAGAGAAAAAAGCACCTTCCCTAGCTCCACACCACGAACAGACATGGCCATCCTTAGTCAGGCTAATTCTAACCACTTAAGAATGAAGAAGAGTTAGCTTAGACAAAGGCTTCAATTAACATATATCTTTTGGTTTGGTGCTTCTTCTATGTTAAGTGGAAGAAAAGAGAGACCAGTAGCTCTCTTCTGGTGCAAGGGACTGGTAGCTACAGAGTCATCTATTTCCACTGTTGGTGCTAGGTGAATAGTATGACCTCTGGTAAAAGCATAGATACTCTGAGGGGAATGATTAGACATTTAAAGAGTATGAGTATTTTCCTGTTTCAGTCAACTAGATTTTGTATGAAGAAAGAAAAGTTTTTTTCAGGACAAGGAAGAAGGATGGTGGGTGGTAGCATATTATAAACAGAAGATGTTTATACATGATTGTTAGCTAATACCTATACCGGTAACCTCATACTACCAGAAGAGCTTGCCTGGTAGTTCTTAGAGAAAACACGTTTAACCTACCGAAATACAAAGTAATTTACATCAAGTAGTAGGAATGTGGAATTTGTAGTAAATCAATAAAATCTGGAATTTGTCTGTATAGTCACTCTGAGAAAATAATATATTAAAGTAAATCTGGATTGTAATCAGAATTATAGAATTGCCTAACCTACCTAATAAGAAAAACATTATAAGCATATATGGGTATAAAAATCATATCATGTAATTAAAGGTTTTTAAAAATATATTAAATAAAGTCCATTTATTGGCAAATTTTTAAAAAAACAAATTGACTTAACTATGACAACTGAAAGTAATATGCAATTTTTTAAAAAAGACTATTTTAGGCCAGGGTCAGTGGCTCACACCTGTAATCTCAGCACTTTCGGAGGCTGAGGTGGGCAGATCACCTGAGTTTGGGAGTTTGATACCAGCCTGACCAACATGGAGAAACTCCATCTCTACTAAAAGTACAAAATTAGTCAGGCATGGTGGCGTATGCCTGTGATCCCAGCTACTAGGGAGGCTGAGGCAGGAGAATCGTTTGAACCCGGGAAGTGAAGGTTGCGGTGAGCTGAGATTATGCCATTACACTCCAGCCTGGGCAACAAGAGCAAAACTTGTCTCAAAAAAAAAAAAAAAAAAAAGGACTATATTTTTTAAATTATCTAATTTAGGCTGTTTAGAAATTAGTTCTAATTCAATTAGACTGAATGTCTCAATAATTTCAAAATTATGAAGTTTATTTTATTTCTTTAAAATTTATTATTTACATTCAGGCAGCACTTCAAGCACAGCTCTTTAATCCAGCACTAGGCCCAGATGGGATACTCTATACGTGATAAATACAAGAATGGAAGAGTCATTAAATGCTCATGCTCACTCACTTGGCTTACCTCACCATTTACAAAATAATTAAAGTATTTGAGGGCGCACCATCTACTTCCATTTCAACATTATGCTTTCTCAGAGTTCTTCCTCTTTCCACTTGATGGAATCTGTCTGTTTTTTTGTCCTCCATGATCTCTTGTTTTCTGAAAAACCCATTAGTCAATAGACATTGGATAATGTATCTCATCCTTATCATCCCTCCCCTAAATCCACCCTGATACTAACTTCTCTGCTTTCTTTCCTCAGAAATGTAGAGAAGGAAACAAATAAATGTGTGGCTGAAATTTACACAAGCTATTTTTCTGTAAACCACTATATACATTCTTCCAAGAAGGTTGGCAAAAATGAACATACTTTCAGGTTATTTGTGAGGCAAGTATGGCTGTTAGCCATGTGAAACAGCCATCATCGCCCAAGTAAGATGATCTTAACTACTACTTTAAAATAACATACTGCCTTTCTAAAAGAGGCTTTAGAAGATTCTGGCACTCTCAAGGGACAAATGTTGCAGTAAAAACAGAAACTGGCTAACGTCTGAGTATCCTAAGAAGGATGAAAGGTTTATTCTTCTGTTTAGCTTTGTAAGGTAATGGGCTCACATGAAATCCAGATGCAGCCTGGAATGTGCAACTAATTGAACAACACTGCCTGCATTTTATGCTAAACATGTCTATAATATTAATATACTACTCTACATTTCTACAGTTGTAAGGTCTTAATCATAATAACACCATGCCTGTACCTTACTTTTCTAAGTGGAATTAGCATTCCCATATGAACTAGAAATGCAGAATTGTTCATACGTTACCTGAGGATCCCTGGTATGACATTTTCAATGATTCTATCATAATTTAGCAATATTCAAGTATCTGAGTTTATGCTTATAAACACTGCATTATCTTATGTGATTTTCTCTGGAATCCGGTCCTTCCAATTCAGATACTTTATTGGCATATGTGTCAATGCCTAAAGAAAATCAGTCAACTGCAAGTCAGTTAAATATTGTCCAAATCTTTACTTTAGACCTTCTCCCCCAATGATGGAAAACGCTTGATCCACATGCTGCACAATTAAAAATCAGTCTTTGTTTGCATTTAGTGCATGCCTTTGTGGTTTGTTATTATCATATCAGTTTTCTGCTTCTAAGTAAGTATACTTTAGTCACTTGTTCTATTTTGGTAGCATCAATGCTTAGATCTGTCCCAGTTTTTGAAAGGTCTTTGGGATTCCTGAACTGCTACTTGCATCCTTACTTCTTGCTTCTGCTCCTGATTTACCCATAAACATATATGTACTTCTATTTATTGATGCATTTGCACACCAGAAAAGTAATTTTCATATACCTTATTATTTCTCAGAAATACATACACCAGCCCTTGGACCTTCCTCTTTTCTAGGTTGTCCACTCTTCCACCATGTACCAGGAGGTGGAAATGACCAAATAATGCTGCATCTGCATTGCTACCACTCTTATTGTTCTACCCCCCCAGATATGGGAAGAACATTGCAACATCTGGAAAGATGGCAGTAGTGGCATCTTCAGAATGATTACCTGCATCTAATAGAAGCAGGTAATCAGGAAATTCTACCCTCTATTTATGGTTGTTGTACTGATTTGAATTCCTACAATCAGAAAGTAGG